GACCGTGGACTAAACAAGTCTTGGGCTATGTGAAATTGTAATGGTTATTTTCCACAGTTTTCCGATATTGTATAGATTCAACAATGAATTGATAATTGGAGAAAAAATCTGCAGAATAATTGATAATAAACTCTGAGAAAAGAGTGTTTTCGACTTCAGCAATAGCCAGTGTCAGTACTGTTGGCTGTGTGTCTGTCCCCGGTGCAGGAGGCTGTCCGCAGAGCGAGGAGGAGCCGGCGGCTGTGCGCCGGGGCAGCGGACTCTGTAAGTGGTTCAACATGCGGATGGGTTTCGGCTTCCTCTCCATGAGCAGCAGGGACGGAGCTCCTCTGGAAGAGCCGCTCGACGTGTTCGTCCACCAGGTGAGACTCTGCTGCTGCTGTTTACACTATGGTGAAGGGAGGGGTTGTTCTAATTTAAAGCTGCATTAGGTTACTTTTATGAAAGTAACTTTTTGTCATTATTGCTGAAATGTTCACTGTGTTCTGACAGTAAACAATCTGCTTCCTCTGGCTGGTTCTAGTTCTCTCAATGTTATTTGCAAGAATCTACTGGGCTTCCATACTCATCACAAAAAAATTGTACTTACAAAAGTTGGTTACATACAAAAAGAAACAATGTCCCTTTAAAAAATACAGCCACAGTAATAGTAAATAACTAACATTAGCTTCATTGAGGATAAACAAACAAGCTTGACCTGGTTCCATTGCCTGCTTATGACAGATACAACAGTAAGCAGTGAGCAACTTAGCAGTCTCCATAAAATGTTGGCGTAAATGTGACATACAGCCCTAGAAACATTTGATAATGACACTTAAAAATCGATTTTGACTTTAAATTACACCTATAAAAGTCCAGTTTACCTGTCAAACTGTTGGTTCTGAGCAGTGGGCGGATCAGATTTCAGGAGTCACTACCTGGACACAGCTCTGCATTAAAATGGATGTGAATATTAACAATATGTAACTTATTCATATGTACAACAATGTTAACAATACCTGCATACAGCGTATAAAAATCAATACTCTGGAACACCCTCAAAAAGACAACATTCTGAGGCAGTGGCTGATAATTGACAAACGACTACCCATAAAGCCTTAGGAAAAGAAAGATGATGCTCTAAATACTAATTTGTAGATCAGTAGATGTATCTGCTGCTCTTGGGAACAGGGTAAACACAGATGAACAAAAAAGGCAATCCAGGCACTCCAAAAAGTTGCAACAAGGACAGAATATATTAAAAAGCATTTATTGACATGGCCAATTAATAAAAAGCATGAAAGCATTTTTAGAGCCAGTGCTTGGTTTGTCCATTCTGGGCTACTGGAGGAACGTGGCGGTTCAACATGGCAGCCTCTGTAGAAGAGGACCGGTAGATAAAAACAGCTCATTCTAAAGTAACAAACACTCAACCGTTCTTATTTTCAGGTGATTATACACTAATGAAAACATACCTCTGAATTTTATATTCCATTTCTGAC